TGAAGTCAAAGACTCTGTTCTTATGCTTTTTAATCAGCCCTACAGTATATTAAAGTACTTGGCACACAATAGGTACAAGTCATATGTGATTTGAATGTTGGAGCCTTCACTTGTCCAACTAAATCAAATGGATAGTGACCCCCATTGGGTTTCCAAGGCTGTAAATCTTTATGGAATTAGACCACCCAGTCTTCCTTCTACGGAGCAGGCAGTGGGTTTGAACTGCTGACCTTCCAGTCAGCAGTCAGCCTTCTGGTTAGCAGTCAAATGCCTTAGGCACTATGCCACCAGAGCTCCTACTATACCACCAGAGCTCCTAAAGACAGAGATAGACGCAGCAAACATGCATTGTGCACCTACTATGTGCCAGGCACTGTTAGATTCTGGACATGCAGAGAACAAGTCAAAAGTCCTACCCTCAAGGAGTTCATGGTGTGACCCACGCTGCAATCTCCATATGATCCCATCTCCTTGTTGCCAGGCAGAATCAGAAGACACCCAAAGATGCCCTTGTCAATCTATCAAGATTATGATTCTGCCAATCAGTTTATGTTCTGCGGTAAATTTGCAGTGAATATTTTATTTCCAAGTAGAAGAAACAGAATGCCTTTGCAGTACCATCCTCCATTTAAACAGTTACAAAGAAAGACACATGAGCAAACATGGCTGACCTGCAACAGCCCATCATGGGTGTTGGTTCAACTCTGTGACTCAGTGGACATGCCCATACTTAATCAGACCAGAGATGAGAGCCATGTCAGGCATGAGCTGCTTTTTATTCATAGGGTTACAGAACATAGAGAATTAAGAGGCAGTATCATTTATTTGCTAATGCTATTTACCAAAAAAAGAGCTGAACATATATACAGCCTTAAAATGCATCCATGGTAGCTTGCATACTGCAAAATTTGCTTTCATATACATATAAACTACTCTTATTTTACCTAAGTTATGCATTTAAAATACATAAAAATGGTACCAAGTGGCATATTGGCCTATTTTGTCACAGTTCTTATACATTCCTGGTAGTCAAAGGGATTGATGGGGAATGCATAGTTTCCTACTAGAAAAAAGGTAGATTCTGATACAAGCAAGGGACTATAATAAGGATAAGAGGGCCTCCATTCAGATCTCGGGAGATTTACAATACGATTCCCATTTTAATCAGCATTACAGTTGGTTCTTGTCATTTCATAGTTGGGATGCTGCTAACTGGCCAGGTAATTTGACCCTCTACTTGCCTGGACGACACAAAGGAAATCATTATCACTTTGTTTTTTCCTTCCTTCCCCAAAGAGTTTCCTCCCCAGCCATCTGCCTGGCTTTCCTATCCACTCCCTTCACATCACCCCTCAACTCTGCATCGTCACCTGATTTCTGGTATCAACACCCAGATTGCCGTGTTCCATTCTAGGGCGCTGTTGACCAGAGTCTTGGGCCACTGCTTAAGGAAACCACTCTCCTCAACTGAAGCTTCAGCAAACAAGGGGCAGATACCTCCACGGGAAGAATCCCGATGCCTGCTTCAGAGATTTTCATGCAAATCGAGTCCCCTCCCGCAGACCTGTGGCTGGCTTTCATTTCATTATACCCACGGTTGGTCTTGGTCGGAGAAATTTCCATCCTGAGTGCCCCTGGCAGCCAAACCTCCCGCATCCAATGCTGATTTCTTTCCTAAAAATACACAGCCTCTCACTCCACAGGGAAGAAAAAGGCAACACTGCCATTTCCAGTGGGCTCACCCGAAGGCTGATGACAGCCCGGAGCAATCTATCATCACTGGTGCTTTCGGGTTCTACCTTTTTCCTCCATTCAACTCGCTTTGTTTATCTGGTGGACTCCGTGACAAGAACCAGATGTATCAAGTCTAGCATCCTCACCGTAACTCCGTTGGGGGAGAGTGAGGAGCAGAACAACCCTGCCAGCGAGATACCCTCCTCAGAACCAGAAAAAGTCATCAGCCACTTCTGGAAGGCTTTCAAGAGGGGGCTTCGCATGGCACAGCCGTTCCCTTGTTTGTTAATTGTTAAATGGACCGGCTGATTGAATGGTGTCGATTCAGCAGTACTTTCCTTCTGGTGACGCAGATTCCATTTTTCATTTCATCTCAAGGTGCTGCTATATTCAAACTCATGATAAGAATGAAAGTCCTTCTTTGGGAGGGCACAGCAGAGACCACCACGCTGCCGTTCACGGGAGAAACTTCCAGCTCTACCACTCACTACCGCAGAACTCTGGGCTGGCAATTGACTTGGATTTTGTGTATCTATTTCCTCCTCTCTGAAATTAGAATGATACCTGCCCTGCAGTAAACTGGAAAGCTACGTATGCATAAATGAAATGAACATAAATGTGCAAGGAAAAAATAGAAAGCTTTGCCTAAATGCAAGGTGGCTTTATTATCCACTGCCCAAGAGCAGTGCTATTCAGACCACAAGGGTGTTTTCATCTTTTTGTAGGGATCTAGTTCTGACCCCCTGGAGTCTGGGGTCCAGTCCTCACTTTAAGGCAGTGTGGCTCTGCCACGTTGCTGCATGGAGGGATTCCGTCCGGGAGTCTAGCCACAGAGAGATGATAACGCAGAGCTACATGCAGAAAGGATCCCCAAAGGGTGATGGCAAGGAACCAGGAAGCAAGAGCCGGCCCCCAGCAAGGCCGATCTCCACAGGGGATCGTCTTAAATAGTTCTCTTTGGTTTGTGTGCTGTTGTTGTCGTTGTTTGCTTTGCATTATTACCAGAAGAAAGCTTCTTGCAGAAAACGGTTTAAAACTTCAGGGACTCTTGAGATGGAGCAGTAAGATTAATGGGGCAAAGCTTCCGCCGCCTGGCGCCAAGAACATCTCCGCGCCTTTAGGAAGCTGGCCAGAACAAATATCTCCTCCCACAGCACAGGGACCTTGTAGGTTGCAAACCTTCATCTGGTACAAATTCTTTCTTTTTTAAAGAAAACTGGGATTGCAACGGAGTGGACTGCCCACTCTCCTGCCCTCTTCTCAATCTCACACTACAGATTTTTCTCATTCCCCCTGCACTCGACAGACCCCCACAATGCAAGCCCAGTACCCTTTCCTTCCTGGGTTTCTAGACTCTAGAGGCAAGGATTATTAGAGAGGGGAGGTCCGACGTCCCCACCTTCACTCTCCAAGGTGAGGCTGGGGAGCTGGCACACTACTCCGGACAGGCAGCACTGTGAAAAGACGTCCCAGTTGCTTCTCGACCAGCGGCTGGAATTGGGAACATCATTACGACCTGGCACAAGGTCTGGGACATTGTAAACGTCTCCTATGCTGTTTGCCAAGGGCCAGCTTTTCCGCCCAGGCTGGCCTGAGGGCTTCCGTGCACCAGGAAGAATAGCTGGCCCGTCCTTAGAGTCAGAGCAATAGCAGAAGCTGCCCCACTTTCCGCTCCTACGTGGAGATGTGCGCATTTGTAGTCCATTCAAACAAACCAAGGAGGGAAAAGAGCGCAGAAGGGTGATCTGGGCTCACAAAACTAAAACAAACCACTTTTCCTCTGTTCCCTTGGTGCTCTGTTCAAAGTAAATTTCGAGCAGTAACAGGACTATGTGTAGGTGAGTTAGTTCATTAAAATCCCTGGTTTCCTGGGCCAGGAGGTGTCAGCCTGCACTCTCAGGATGCAGCCCGAAGTGCTGATACACCAGCGGGGCATGGTTCTCTTAAGGGCTGTTATTGCCAGGGTCTGCAACACTTAACATCAGGAAACAACAAACCCACTCTTGTTTGTGGCAAAACATCTACCTACTCATGACTTGGCAAACAATGTTAAAAATAAACAGTAATACAGTACAATATGACTGTGCTGCTTTAGGGGCTATAAGAGACGTTTAGGGGTTACTCTTTAAGAGCTGCTTCCAAAAAATGTTCTCTTGATATTCTCTGCAGACAACCAGCTAACTGGGCAGAGCATCCCTCAAGAATCCTGTACAAACCCAGACCCCATGAGCTTCCCTGCACCAGGGAAGTCCACTGAGATAGGCCACCTGGCCCCGGGAGTGCAGACGTGCCCTGTGGGAGTCAGCTTGTCTGCCTCCCAGTCAGGTCCCTTCTTGTCCAGCCTGAGACTCCCAGCCTATGGAAGTTGACTGCTCCATCAGCCCATGACCCCCGGAGAGTAGATGGGTGGGGGAGTGTCCCTTTGCTAGAGGACTGGGAGAGGGAGGAGCACGGTAAAGAGTATGCTGGGTTCTGTGAGAAGTACTTGCAGCACCTTCATTAGGGCTGCCTTGACTGCTGCAAAAGCAGCAGATAAACCAAGCAGGACTGTTACACGGGTAGGCTGGTAGGCAGGAGGGCAGAGTGGTAGGTTGATACTCAGTGACTTGAAATATTAAGCTGTCCAGAGAGCAAGGTCATGCACAAATCAAAGGGCTACTCTAGGTATCAAAGCAAATTGAGGCTTATACAAAGCCCCCCTTTGACATTTCACTTCAAAAGTCCAATCCAATGCTCATCAGATGGACAATACCTGTTCCACCTCTCGAAAGGAAGGGGAAAAAAGCACCATTCAGTCTTTGGCCTGGCTGCTGGGGTACCCACAAACTCAAAGGCCGGGTTCAGAGAAGCAGAGGCCACCTAGGGACCATCCAACAAGCATTATTGCTCTGGTCACCATGGGGGTGGGCTCTGAACCACAAGGAAGAGGGAAAAACTCCTTTGTCCTACTCCTGACCTAATGCCCATGCTGTACATGTGTCGCCAGGTTATTTATGGCAGAAAGAGAGACTTCAAACGTTAACTTGTGAACCTGCCCATGATGAAGTTCCACGTGAGTCAATGAACTAGCCAATCTTTTGCTAACAAGGAGGGTTCGGGAAGGCTGGGCGTTCCTTTCAGGAGACTGGGATGGCTCAGAATAGCATTGCTGAGGCTTCTCAGCTTTTATACTAATCACCAGCAGACCTTTTCAGCTGATTTTGGCTCCAAAGGTTCTTCCCCAAAAGACTGCTAAAATGGAATGAGAAGGGCCCATGTTTTGGTGTGTTTTTCGTTTTTATTTCCTTAGAAGAGCTGTCCCATCTTACCCAATTTTTTCTTCCTTATTAAAAAGAGAGGATGGAAAAAATAAAAGCACATTACCTTCCTACATGGTAAGAGTTAACTCTTTTTCTCAAGAATTACAGGCTTTACGATGTCGTTTTAAATGGTGGAATAGACATGTCATGCAGTTAGCCAATGAATGCAATCCCTGATTAAAAGGTGAGTTCTAAACATTTGGAAACACCTAACTATTTCCCCAGTGCATTTTCAACTTCAGAATTCTGAACTTGGCTCTTCCCCCTCCCCCCTTGGTCCTCTCTCTCTCTCTTTCTTGCTCTTTCTTTTCTCAAGAGAGAAAGAGAGAGAGAGCGCTTACACTACTAGTTTCTTAAATTCACCTGTTCCACCTTCACAAACTTAAGTCAACAATGATATGCTCAAAAATCTTTGTTTTCCCTTTGAAACTCGAGGCAAAGAAGAAATCTCTCCTGTCGGTGGAGACAGCTGTGAACGACCGTGGTGCCTGCACGTAGATCTCCTTGAACTTCACAAAGAGCTGCTTCTCTTTATCCCACTGGTATATCTGGGAGAAAGTGTAGTCACTCCCCAGGGCCAGGTAGTGGTTATCTTTGAAGGAAAAGGGCTGCAAGGTCATGGCCCCCCGGGATGGTAGAGCCTGGATCTCCACAAACTGCTTACTATTCCACTTCATGACTCGGGAGTCCCCAATGAAGCGCGTGAGGGACAGGTAGAGGCTATTCTGCATCCGAAAGCTCTTCACGGCCAGCACGTCCTCCATGTTGGGGATATCACCATGGGGGACAAACTTCTTAGAGCTTTTATTCCACTGGAGGATGATGGGGACCTGAGAGCGGCTGGACAGGATGAGGTGCGATTTTCCATCGATATCAACAAACTCCGCATCCGTGTCCCTGAACCACTCATGCAGAGACTGGTATGAGTAGAACCCCTTGCTGTTCCACTTGTACACGGTCGACAGGCCAGCTTTGGAGCTGTCTGCGATGATGAAGAACTTCTCGTCATCGATCTGAAACAGCTCGATGTCATTGGGCTTGGAAATGCGAGACACTTCTATGTCCTGGAATTTGACAAACTTGGTCCAGCTCTCGTCATATTTGTAAATGTGAGAGCCACCGAAGAGCTGGGCCACCACCACGAAGACCTGGTCATCGATGAGGATAGCCTTGCAGCCCACAATGGACTGACCTGTTCTCCGAAAGAGAGGGAGGAGATTAGTGCTGCCACAGGTACATAGAGATGAGATGGTCACTGTACTGGGTGGAATGGTGAATGTCCCCACCTCCCAGAATTTCCAACCAGAAACTTGGATTGTGACCTTATTTGGTAATAGGGTCTTCTTGTTGTTGTTGTTGTTATGTGCCATTAAGTCAGACCCGACTCACAGCGACCCCTCTTGGGTTTCCAAGGCAATATCACTATGGAGTAGATTGCCCCATCTTCCTTCTGAGGAGTGGCTGGTGGGTTTGAACTGCCAGGCTTCTGGTTAGCAGTCAAGTGCCTTAGGCACTACTCTACCAGAGCTCCCAATAGGGTCTTAGCAGGTATAATTAATTAATATGAGGTCATGCTGGACTCTACCACCCATCTGTGTGTCCTTTTGTTGTACTTGGTGGCTTGTGTGTTGCTGTGATGCCAGAAGCTTATACCACCGGTATTTCAAATACCAACAGGGTCATCCACGGTGGATAAGTTTCAACAGGGCAGCCAGACTAAGACAGACTAGGAAGAAAACCCTGGAGATCTACTTCTGAAAACTAGCCAAAGGAAGCCCCATGGATCACAGAATACCATCCAAGGCTTCAACTTGTTTACTGTGAATGCATCTCTAGGAAAGACTGATTGCCGAAGGTCACCTTCTCTGGGAAAGTAGGTCACGAGAACAAGGGAAACCTGCAATGCAAGGGACTGACAACAGCCACAACAATGACCTCAGACACACCTACATCATGAAATGGTCCAGGAGTGGGCACTGTTTGGTTCTGTTTTGTGTAACAGAATGAGGCTGAATAGTGTTGAACCTTATGACTTTAGACATGTGGTCCAGGGTTTGGAACCCGGCACTATGCCTTATAAGCTTTCTGACCTTGGGCCAATGGACTCCACTTCCTATTCTCTGGTTCCTCATCCACAAAGTAAAATGGATGATGCTATCAGAGCTGACCTCATGGGGTTGCTATAAAGACTAGATGAGATCATTCATGGTACATGTTCAGCACAGAATCTGGCCCACAGGAAGTAATCAATAATTAGCAGCTATCATCATTGGAAAGGGTCCCTGATGGCACAATGGTTGAACTCTCAGCTGCTAGTCAAAAGGTCAGTGGTTCAAATTCACCAGCCACTCCATGAGGAAAAGATGTAGTAGTCTCCTTCTGTAAAGATTCCAAAAAACTCACTGCCGGCCGTCGAGTCAAAACCAACTCATAGTGACCCCTCCTTGGGTTTCTAAGGCGGTAGATTGCCCAGTCTTCCCTCTGAGAAGTGGCTGGTAGGTTTGAACCACCAGCCTTCTGGTTAGCAGTCAAATGCCTTAGGTACTACGCCTCTATGGTACAGTTCTACTCTGTCCTATAGGGTTACTATGAGTCAGAATTAATATGCTCTTTTAAAAGAAAAATCATCATTAGATAACTGAAGCAATTAACTTGATAGCCAAATGGTCTTGCCCCTTTAGTACTTGCCCATAGCAAGACACTGCATCGACACTTGGAGAAGGAGCAATGATCTGAGTGACGTCGCTCAAGCATCACAAAGTTAGAACCCCACAGACAGAGGGGGAACATGTTCAGCGGTGACTCTCCTCTCTAGGTCACCTACTACTGTCTTCTCCCATGCTGCATCCAGACCCCCAAACCCGCCCCAGGCTTTCCCATTCCAGAAGACTAACCACCAAGCAACAGAACCACCCACATGTGAAAGATTACTGACCCTCGGTCTAGATCTTTCAACTAGAAGGTATTTCTTTTCTGTAATCATCTAGGCAATTTGGACCAAAGTGTCTTTGGTCTGTAATTTACAAGGATGACCCAATTTCTGTTTTTAATATTGACATTAGGTGCTGATTGTCAGTGATTTTCAAAATGGTATTTATTTTTGTTTCAGTACTCTGCTCCTCTTATAGGGAGCCCTGGTGGCACAACGGTTAAGCACTTGACTGCTAACCAAAAGGATAGTGGTTCAAATCTACCCAGTGACTCCATGGGAGAAAAGATCTGGCAATCTGCTCCCAAAAAAGATTACAGCCTAGGAAACCCTATGGGGACAGTTCTACTCTATCACATGGGATTGCATGAATTAAAAATGGCTTGATGGTACCTAATAACGTCATGATAAATGGAGAAAAGACTGAAGTTGTCAAGGAGTTCATTTTACTTGGATCCACAATCAACAACCATGGAAATAGCACCAAGAAATCAAACGACATAATGCATTGGGCAAATCCGCTGCGAAAGATCTCTTTAAAGTGTTTAAAGAGGTAACTTTGAGAAACTAAGGTTCAGCTGACCCAAGCCATGGTATTTTCAATCACTTAGTAATGCATGCAAAAGCTGGACAACGGATACGGAAGACCGAAGAATTGATGGCTTTGAATTATGGTGTTGGTGAATGATGAATATACCATGGACTGCCAGAAGAATGAATGCATCTGTCTTGGATGAAGTACAGCCAGAGTGTCCCTAAAAGGCACGGATGGTGAGATTTCATCTCACGTACTTTGGACATGTTATCAGGAGGGAGCAGTCCCTAGAGGACATCATGCTTGGTAAAGCAGAGGGTCAGCAGAAAAAGAGGAAGCCCCTCAACAAGATGAACTGATGGACTCAAACCCAGCAAGGATTGTGAGGGTGATGCAGGACCGCACAGCGTTGTTCTGCTGTACACAGGGGCGCTAGGAGCTGGAACCTACTCAACGGCACCTAACAACAATAACAGCCCTTCTTACAACAGCCTGATCCCTTTCCTTTGTTTAAAACAAATGACTGGATTTTCTTGTTTCAGAATACAAAAGCTTGAAGTGTTCACTAAAGCAAATTTTGAAAATAATAATACTCCAAGCCATCATCGCTTGCCTGGATTACTGGGTCATGTATCTTTTTTTACTGTTATAATTATAAATATGTAAGTAATGCATAGGAGCTCTGGTAGTGTAGTGCCTAAGGCACTTGACTGCTAACCAGGAGGCTGGCAGTTCAAACCCACCAGCCACTCCTCGGAAGGAAGGTTGGGCAATCTGCTTCCGTAGTGATACTGCCTTGGAAACCCAAGGAAGGGTCGCTATGAATCGAGTCCGACTCGACAGCACATAACAACAACAACAACAAGTAATACGTATCAGAGGTTTACTATGACTAGGCACTGATCTAAGCACTTTACAATATTTACTCACTAAGCCTTTACAACAACCCTGTGAGGCAGGTACTATTATTATTATCATCTTCTTCATTTTTGGTAGAGTGAAATTGAAGCACAGAGAAGTTAAGTACTTATACAAAGTCACACAGCTAGGATGTGGTGTAGCCTGGGATTCAAACACCACATACTACACTCCACTGCCAAAGTACCAAAAAGCACAAAGAAGAAAATAAAAACCACTTGAGCTGCCATCGCCAAAATAACACAGCTAATATCTTGCTCCATTTCTTTAATCTCTGCACACATTCAAATGCACTTTTAAAAAAAACGGGCCATATGCTATACATATTGTATAACCTATTTTTTTTCACTTACTCACTATGCTGTGAACATCTTCCCACGTCACTGAATCTTCTACAACTCAATGTTTTAATACTACACACAATATTCCATTGCATGGATGAGGCCTACTTTCTTCAACTAATCCCCTGTTCCAATCCTTGGAAACCCAGTGCGGGTCTCTCTGAGTCGGAATCAACTTGATGGCAGTGAGTTTTTGGGAATCCCCTATTATTGGATATGGAGGTTATTCTGAGTTTTCATTATTGTAAGGAATATGTTTACTTGTAGAGCAATCTTTTCATAAGTCATTGGGTGGTGCTCTGAAACACAGACACTGAGAAGGCAAGTGGTGGGCACATTTGTAAGCCTTAGTGTTTAAACCAGGCCTTCAAACTGGTTCATTCCAGTTTGACCCCTGCTGAGAATCTGCCTTTCCACCCCTGCTGAGAATCTGCCTTTCCACCCCAGATATACTGACACAAGATCATGTTATGATGTACATTTAGCTTTGGCATGCTTGGGGTGAGGGGTGGAGCTGGAATGGACCAGTGTGAAGCCCTCCTTTAAACTACTCACTCAAGTCCTCGTCAACAGCCACCGCCATTTCCACACTGCTGCTGCTGCTCTTAGTTAGGGGTTGTTGAGTCAATTTCCAACTCACAGCGATGCCACGTGACACATAGAACTGCCCTGTAGGGATTGCTTGACTATAACATTCTTACAGAAGCAGATTGCCAGGTCTTTCTTCCTCAGAGCAAGACTTCCTTTCTTGGAGATGCACCATGACACCTCTGTCCCAGTAAACAATTTTAGCCTATGGAGTTGCCAGTAGCACCTTGTACTTTTTTTTTTTTTTTTATGTAGGAAGAGTGATTGGAACATATTGAGTATGCAAAAACTCAAAAGACAACCAAAATAACTCCAAATCAAGAAAGAAGTGAGAAGATGTACAGAGGGACAGGAGCAGGAACACAGAGAAAGCCTTGGGGTGAACATCACCATGGATCTCTGTGTCCCTTGAATACAGTGGCTGCCGAAGCTGCCCCTCTTCCTCCTCAGCCAACAGTGCTGCAAAGGAGGAAGGTGGGGCTTCCTTGTGGCACTGGCTCCTCAGTCTTAGCAGGAATGCACTGAGAAAAATCCTGCCCAGCCCTTGCTAACTCCAGGATCACCCTGTGGCCAAGCAAGATGACAAATGAGGCTTGCACAACCCAAGGTGAGGAGAACGGCTATGTTTACCTCATTCTCGTTCAAAGCAAGTGGCTCCAGGAGCCGTTCTCCTCTGCTTACCCATTTGTCATCTGCTCAGCACATGACTGCTGTGCTGCTCTCCTTCACACCAGGCTAAGTTCCCAGGCACCAAGAGATGCCCACCCTCCTTCCACCACTGAGCAATCCGTCTGCTTCTGTAAACACGGCTAACTCTGCCTTCCTCAGGCTGCTATCTGCTGGGCCCTGTATTCCTTTACACTTAAGAAAATTTCAGAGAG